AAAGGAGAGTTATGGTAATGAACTACTAGTGCTTTTTTATGCAAGTGAATTAAACTAAGTCAGAACTCTAAGATTTCAGTTTGTAATATTGCTCAGTATACAGATAAAATAATTTAAAATTGTTCTTAAACCACTTGAGCAGAGTTCATAGGTTCAGAAAACTTGAGCAAAAACCCAAACAGCATTATTTCAAAGTTCCTTCCTCAAATATTCATTCTGCATATGTGCTGAACATGAGGCATACCCAGAGCCTGTTTTGCATATGATATATCCCCATAACTCTGTGGTGTTTCCTGATTCTGACCATTTAAGAACTGAGCCTGGGAATTGAGCCAGGTACTTGTAGCAACACATGACAGTATCATGCCCCTGGAAAACTGAATACTTTTTTCCTTTTTTTTTTTTTTTAATCACAGCTTATGCCTGTGTTACTTTCTTGCTGATAAGCCATGGTTCTGTAGCTTTAGTGCCATAAACAACTAAGAACTCATCTAAAGCTTGCTTAACTAGGTTCATGCAATCATACAGGCACGAACTGTATTTATTTCTTTGAAATAAAAGTTGAAGAGCATGGAGTCAGACCATTAACTTGATTTCATCATTTTGTCCAATAAAAACCAGCAATTCTGCCCTGAAAATTTAAAGATTTGTCTGTGTGCTCCCCCACCAAGATTTTTATGCTCTCAATCAGTACTAGTGTAAATGAGCTACAGTTCCAATAATGCATTTACAACTTGTGGGAGTCCTTCAACAATCAGGCCATGTCTTCAGAGTTCCATTGTATAAAAAGGTCCTCTGGTCAATGCTACAGCCTGAGACCAAATAGAATTGCTTCCCAGTGCCCATTGTCATGGTAAACTGGATTCTACACCTGGTGGAGCCCAGTCACTCTTAACATACAAAATATATTAAAATTTAGAAAGCGGTGTATTTGATGTTAAAGAAGTATCAGGAAATTCACTAAGATTCTAGAACCCTGTTCTATTTTTTTTTCAATTACCTTGTCAATAGATTTACATTTTCAGATAATGAAAGACTTTCACACATTAAAAAATTCTCTGGATGCCTATTCAAATTCAAATATTCCGCCCTGTTTCAAGGATTTCCTGTAGTTCCTGTAGTCTGAATCTTGATGCTAAGGAAATATTGACTCCCTTCACTTTACCTTTAGAGGTGGTAACAGATAAGGAAGAGCCTTTTTGTATTCAAAACATAAGCACTCGTGTTTTAATGTGTATCACATCACTTTGCGTAACTATTAATAAATTCAATGGGAAAAGGAAATAAACATATTAAATCCAGCTATTGGAATGGGACAGGAAGGGGCTCTACTCACATTTCATCACATCTTCAGATCTGGGTTTTGTATACACAGACAAGTTTGGCCTGAACCAATGAGGAAGAATAATGCACACAACTGTGTCTTGATCTGGATGCAGTGGCACCCAGAGAACTTTGACAGAATCACAGCTTCACTTGGGTTTTGAAGCAAAGTGTGACATGGACCTGGTGGAACTTTACAGTGCTCTTTATCACTGACCCTTGGTTTGAAATAAGTAAAACGTTCATACTGACCAATGCTTTTACCAGAAACAACAGCCAAACTTTATATGTGAAAGTGGTGTAAGACAATGATTAAATACACAACGCTTGCCTGCAAAAGCAGTAACACTTTCTGTATTGACCTTCGTCTCTCCCTGCTGTGTCTTCCCCTGAAATGCCTGTGGAGGTCAGTAATGCATAAAGCTAATAGGGGACTGTGAGTGCCAGGCCTCTGCAATGTACTGATGATAGGATTTTTTTCTCTGCTGAGGTCTGCTCACTGTCAACACTTCACAGAAAATTGCTGGACTCGTCAATTCTGCCACTATAGACAAATGTGTAAGGATATATGGATTTGGACATATACCTGTAGTCTCACACACACACTTCTAAAATCATGAAGCCTGCAAATTAATATCAAAGCAAGGCAAAGCAGATAACCTCTCATCTGGACAGCTTGCTCTCCAGTCTAGCAAGAGAAGTGGCAGACAAGTGAGACTATTTCAAATACAGTAGGGGATAAGAGGAGGACATATTGAGAAAATTATAAACATTTAGTAACTTGTTTGAAACAATTTTGTGTTTGGGGGTCCCAAGTGAGCTTTTCCCTTGTTCATTTGTTTAATTAGAGGTTAATAGCTGCATTTAGCCCTAAGGAAATGAACGTCTAGGGCCTACTTGAATTACACAAGATATTAGGGGAAAATTTGAGAAAGTTATTCCTCTTTTGAATATTTTTTTGTTCATTCCTATCCACATAGCCAATTGTTATACTCAGTATATCACACTTAGGTATCCACTTCGCTGCTTAACAGTGCAACGAATGAGACCATTGCTGAGTAAACCAATCAAATGAGCTTCTTCCAGGTAAATAAAGGAGCAAACCAACTTGTGTATTTAGCACTGGAGGACAGATATAAGGCAGCAACACAAAAAGAGATATGTATAGCCATAATGCAAATTAATATAATTTTATGCTGTTTTATTATAAATAAAATGCTAAACACCACCTTTGTTCTCCAAGTGTATATGTATAATTTCATATCCTGAGCTGGTCATTCAAAAGCACTCAGATTAGGCTGAAAAGTTATATATGCACAAATTTGAACAAACAACTCCTGTTCTCAAGTTTTTTTGCTCATGATTGGATCCTCATTAGGCACACAAATGCATGGATCTTTTGCATAAACAAAAGGATAAAAGTAAGTTTACAGCAGAATGTTAATAAACAGAGTCAAATCCGTACATAAATGTTAAGCTACCATTCAGCAGAAAATTTCTAGCTAAACTTTATGAAATCTGGGGGCTCTTTATGTGAAAAAAGTTGCAGCAGCATAGCCATGTAGCCTTGACATACCCCAGCTCTTGGGAACTCTGGACCCAATCCAAGCTATTACAGTTCTTTTCCATCTAGACATATCACAATGTAACACAATAGACCTGGGTTCTGTTCTGCAGTGGCAGGCCATGACCAATTCCCTCCGAATTCAGAAGAAATGTCTGACAGCTAAGGAATCAGGCTCCTGGATTACTAGCAACTGGTATCCTTATGGCATTTATTTTTCTTATTCAACATTGCTGTTTTCCATATGAAAGTGTAAAGTCATTCAGAATAATTTGACACTTTCTCTTAGCATTGCTTGTTAAGAGCTAAGCAGGTTAACGCTAAACAAGTGGTAGTAAAGCCTTCTTCAAGCAGGACTTAGGATGGTTTTTTGGAAATCACAAGAATGATGCGGCAAATTGAGATTCTTTTTATAAAGAGTTTTCTTCCATTTGTTTCCATTACAGCTCTTGCATGCCTAAGCAAGGTGAAAATTACAATAAAACATGTACAAGATGAGTTGATGATCTGAGACAGTCAGCACAGCTTCACTAATGACAAACTGTGCCTGACCAATATGGTGGTCTTCTATGAGGGAAGACAAAATTATGTTCTCCACCTAACCTTCTGTAAAGCCCATAACACAGTCTCACAGAACATCCTTATCTCCAAATTGGAAATGGACATGGAAGTGAAGGGAGGGCTACTTCATTCATGTGGAGGCTGGTGACGAGCGCTGTCCCTCAGGACTCTCTCTTGAGACTGGTGGTTTTTAATATCTTTATCAATGGCACAGACAGGGAGATTGAGTGCAGCCTCAGCAAGAGGCTGCACTCAATTGTTCACAGATTGACATTTGTGTCATCTGTGAACTCATTGTTCACAGATGACACAAAACTGAACGATTGTACTGTACCAGCCCCAAACCCCATAAAAACCCAAAATAAGGGAAAAAAAGGGAACCACATCACACACATCACTATCTCTCTCCTTATTCTTATCAGTTTGGCTGTTACTGAGCCCCACATGCCCAAACAACACTCCATTGACAAGTCAAATGGAGGAGAAAGCACAAATAAATAAATTACTTCTAACCTGAGACCAGAGTTCATAATCAGTCTGCAATCAGAATATATTTTAGAATCATTTCAATGTTTCATCAACTGAATTTTCAAAGAATACAGGTGGATTCTTCAATTAGTTTTTGATCATGGAAGAGAAAAAAATCCTCTTTTAAATTCTTTATCAGCTGTTTTATTTGAGACTTGTGAATATTCCTCAATGAAGAGATCATGAGAACGGACATTCAAAATGCAGTGTACTCAGATTAGCCACACTTTCTCCAAAATATATGCCCAGCTGGGAAAGCTCTTTTTGTTACATTTTTTGTTGTCACAATGTGTAATACTTGAGAATACACCTTGATAAGTAATGTTGATGCAATTTTTATTTTGACTGTAAATTCTGATTGCTACTCCAAGATATTGACAGTGACAGGTATATTGTAACAGTTCGTAAAATCATGGTTATTCTTAACTTACCTATATCCTGGAAAAAACTTGAGTAACAAGCTTAAAGGGCACTTTTGTTTTTAAAATGTTTCTAAACCCATGCTGTTTCACCTGAAATATACAACTTACTTATTGAATTAGGGTTCCTTAGAAGTTAAGCAGGTAATCCATGGAGACTGTTACTTAATTTTCTTTTGCTACCATTCATTAAATATGGTCTGTCTCTATGAGCCTTTAAGCACACTTATTTCCTTTAAATTTACCTAAAACTTTATTAGAGTCAGTCAGTACTGCCTACATAAATTTAAAACATTCCCAGTGGACAAGAATAAAACATTTAAAATCTATATTTGATCTGACAACAGCATTATCATGTTTAAATTAGAAACAGATTAGACATAATTGAAGATAAAGAGGACACAAGCATCACTCCCATTCTGGTGGAGTGGGTTTTAAATTATCAGATTCATTCAGAATACATTACATAGAAACATTGAATTGTTATCTTTAGACAGCCTTTTCTAAGAGTTTACAATTTCTCAGTTCAGCGAAGCCTGCCACCAGCTCGTTGTCAGAACAAGAAATGAAAAATCATTTGGTTCAGAGCACAGAACTGATCTCACCTCCAAAAGCACACACTTTGGACTGTAGAGGTACCACTTCATGCTTCACATTGAAGTCAATCTTTCTAAGATTCTTCCACGTTTCAGGTAATTCCTAACCACGTAACAAGAAGATATTGTTTGTCAGTTTGCAGAGTCAATAACAACCCCCCCCCCCAAACATACATACTTTCATTCTCCCCAACGTGCCCTCCTTTTTCCCTATTTTTTGAAAAATATGAGTTGAGTTTGTGTTATTCCTTCCCTACTGTTCTTATGCATTGATAAAAATGGACTCTTTACACAGAGTAACTTGAAAAATGCAGTTTATGAGAAAGATTAAAATTTCTTTACAGCATCCTACATTTTCTAGTTAGAACATGTTTATGTATATTAAATTTTGAAATAATCCTTAACAACACAAAAAATGCCTCAGTGATGCAACTCATGAAAAAATAGTTTGATAAATACATTATTTTGATCCACCCATAAAAAAGGCACAAAAATAGTGACAACTGAATGTATTGGTAAGCCCCAAACATGTCAAGTAATTTTGATTAACCTGCTTAGCTCTTAATAAGGGTGTGCTTGAACCCAGTCTGGTCCATAAAAATAAAGCCATATTCCTTACATCCCTGTAAGACATCCCAAAGGCTCATCTGCTCTACGAGCTATACCTGTTGCTGACAAAAAGGCCAGCTACAAGTCTAGTTGATTATAGACATGGACTCATTCACAACAGTGTTATTAGACACAGTAATTTAAAGGCAAAGATACACAAATATAAATGTTTTTTCTTCTTTGATGTTGTTTCGAAAAAGTTACATGGGGCTTTTGCAAACATCCGTGTTTACTCTGAATCTCATTCAGCTTAATTCCACTTAATTTCAGTGACACAGCTGAAGCTCATTACTTCCTTGCAAGTCATACTGCTCAGAAAGGTTTCCTATCACTATTTGAAGAAAGTGGTTAGAAGTTTAATAAACACTAGCAATCCTCTGACGATGTATAAATATTGACAATCTGACAATGAAATACCTGTCTATAAATTATACTTTAAAATGGATATTTCCATGCAGGTGAAGTTTATTTTTCAGCTGCATTAAGATGCATGGCAGATTAGAAATGAATAGTAAAGAAATTATTGGGAAAGATTCCCCATTTTCATATGCGGTGTAAGTTTTTACATTTCCTGCAAATGATGCTAGGGAAAAAATAACTACAGAACCACATTTAGTCACTCGGAAAAATCAGGTTGATAGCAAAACTCTGATTCATAAAGAAAGAACCAGTGTTCTACCCACTGAAAAAATCAAACACTATAATGGTGCTATTTTTACTGCTTCAATTTTTTGGTCTGCCAACACTTCTCTAATTAAAGTTACATTAAAGAGCACAGTTCAAATTTTCAAGAGGTTACCTCCAATTCACATGCACCATTTCTTTACTTCTATGTGCAAACAGGCACGTACTCGTCATGGAGCAGCAAAGACTGGCTGCTTCCCAAGGGAATGTGAGCCAGGAGCAGAAAGTTAACCCAGCAGACAGCACCCTCATCAACCAAGGGCCCAGTCCCAGAGGCCCTTAAGCATGGCAGCAGTGCCAGGTGTTGGTAACTGGGTTCATCAATAGCCCCAGACACAGCCAGCAGTGAAACAGGTGCTGGGTTCCACCAGCAAGCATAGCCAGGAGTGATGAGCTTCTGTGGAGTCCCCTGGGTGTGGGGAGGAGCCACCAAGGACATTTTTAGTGCACTCAGGACACTGATAGTTTGCACACCTCCAAAGTGATTAAGCTGCTAATTACCCGACCTACCTGCACAAAAAAAAGGGGTTTCCTAATCCTGGAAGGTTAAGATTGTAGAGTTTTACAGTAAAGGGATTTAACCTGCCTCAGGTTATGCACAGAAAAACCTTTAAATTTGGGTACAAAGGTGAATTGAGACATTTTCAGTATTGGTTTGCAAAATCAAAATCATATGCTACTTGTGAGTCTTTTAGCTCAGATCATCTAGAAAAAGAATTTTCATTTAACCAGAAATGCTCATGCTTCAAAAATTATTTTTGTTCCAGCAGGGCAGTAGATAAAATCAACCTTTCAACAGATTTTATGTAAAACTTGTATATCTTAAAATGCAGCATGGGGAAATGCATGGGGAAATGTGGATTTCCTCTGTATCCCTCAGCTTGCTCTTAGCCCCAAGAGTTGGAGAGAAGCAAATACTACATTTTTTACTGCATTTCAGGATTATTGGATATTAGTCCCAAAGAAAAAGAAAAAAAAAATACCAACAAGAGATTTTAGACAAGACCACAGATGTAGTAGAATTATTTATATTTCACTAATAGGCACAGAAAATGGAAGCAAAGGAACCTCTGCAAGGATGGAAATACCTGTTCTTTAGAATATGGAAAGTCTCATGAACATTTTGGGCCCACAAAATTTTAATAAAATTCTAGCTTCCCTTTACTAAGAAATTGTCCACTGAGCAGGAACTGCTTCATACATCCAATTTTATCATCAATCCATAGACTACCATTCTTTGTTAAAGTGTTGTTCCAGAACATAGTGACCAAGTCCCTTTTCCTCACAGCTACTTGACTTATTTCTTCCAGGGTATCCATCTGATCTATATAATGCTAAATGAACATCCAAAAATGAAAAAGAAGTAGAAGCAAAGATTAAATTCAAGAAAGAAAAGACATGCTTAAAGCTAAGTCACATGCCAAGACCCAAGATATTGCACTGATGGCAATGACAATTATAACTTGTCAGTCAGCAGCAGGTTTCCTGTCTGCTCCCTGAAACAACTTAATAGGAAATGACTGCTTGGATTCATGTTTCTCAAGTATAATAATTTCTGTTTCATGCATCACACTAACATAAAAATTCAAAGTACCTACCAACATCAGCTAGAGAAGAAACAGTGCACTTGTTATTACTCACATCCTCCAACATGTTGATTTGACTTACAGCACTTACTAGTGAGATGAACTGTGATTCAGATCCTTATGACCATCAGTGTCACTTTTCAGTAGAGATCAAAAAAAATGCAATATTGTGTCCAACTCTGTCCTTTGTTTCCCTTTCACTATTTTACAGTGTAACAAATTTATATTTAATCTAATTTTGCCTGTGTAAACTGTGATATTTTGATATATTTATTTATTAATACTTGTTTCCATCACATATTAAAAAAAACTGCAAAAGAAATTGCGCAAAGACTTTTACACGTCCTGCTAGTCTGGCAAAAATACTCTTGCACAAAAACTTGCATATACATTGAATTTCTAGCAAAACTGTTTCACTGTGATTCATAAAGCACTTTTGTCAGCTGAGGACATAACCTCACAGCTCATAGAGAATGAAATTATTGCAGATACATGGCTCACCTGTACTTGCAGATCTGGGAGCAGACACAATATCAGGTGTCCTGGTGAGAAGTAGTAACCAAGAAAGCAAATATTCAACCTATAACCACAAAGAAACAAGCAGTTCTTGAGAAATGCCTGGCCTGGAATATGTAGAAGTCATTTGACACCAAATGCTCAGCAAAACAGGCACTGTAAAGACTGCCTATGCACAATGCACAAGTGAAAGTAGAAGGCAAATTTGCGAACCAGCTTTGAAGAGAGTTCAGCTGCAGATTTCAGTGTGTATTAAAAAGGCACTCTCAATTGGTCAAGTGAACCAGAAGAAGTTAAAAAGAAGTTAGCCATTATAATTTAAAAAATATGTGCTGGTAGCTGATGGAAATGACTGGATACATTCATAAAACAAGAGAAGCAGAGGTTAAGGAGAGTAGAATATGACAGCTCACTGAGAACAGATGGGAAAAGTCCTCACAGCCTCTCTTGAGGTATTAGCCTTCTTGGCATAAGCCATTGGATAAGGTGAGTCAGCTGGGAAAAAAACCCCTACATGCAAGTGCCTAGAGGAAAGGTCAATTGTGACACTTGAAAAAAAAAAAAAAAAAAGGAAAAGTAGCAAAAGTAAGAATAACTGAAAAGGGTCTTTTCCAAAGTATTTGACAATCTGTCTACAGATGATGCAGTATCATAACTGTTTTTCATTAGTCTCCCCATAATATCACAGAAATTGCCATTGACATTAAAGTCCAAAGAAATTTTAAAAATTATTTCATTGCTATTAAGAAAAAGCTACACTTCAAATAAAGGACTGGATTTAAATGTTACCTCAGTGTTTTCATTCACTGAATTCAGATACTGAAGAAAACACTTGATAGCTTTGAACAGCCCATCTACAATCATGTGTTCTGTGTATTCAGTGTAGAGTTTCCATTCATCAGAAAGAGGATCTGTCTGAAGCAAATACTGATTGTCCTGGAAGGAGTAATTTAGAGAATCAGTAACAGGGGTTTAGAATTGCTCTTCCCAGTGTGTATTTCTTATTACAGCTAAGTGAGTCCAGGAATAAAGAAACTCTCACTTTGATGAAGAAAAGCATTCCCGCTATTTACAACGTAATTACCTTTTCATTGTAACTTTTACAAGTACATCTGGAACTAGTTACAGAAAACTATCTCCCTTTGGAGTTAGATTTGCATCAGCAAGTGCAAATGTTTGAAAACAGTTCTCACTTTTACTTAGTCCTGACTTTCCTAAAAGTATTTACACCTATTTAGTGACAACACCTACTCCCAGAACTAAATATTTACTGGATCTACTATCATGTAGACTATGTGGCAAATCTTTTCCACTATTTCTTGAATTGTACTTCATAGGGGTTTTTTAATCAATGGAGAGAAGAAAGGATTTGTGCCATTTTTTCATGACATAAAAAGTGTTTGACTCACTCTATACAACATCCAGTTTCACATTATGCTTGTATATTCTGATTCCCTCATTCACCTTTTAAGCAAGTTCTCCCTGCCTGTTCATTATGCTCACAAAGATCTGCATTCTGTCAAGTCAGAGGCAGACATCAGTTGTTTGTCAAAACTCTCCAAATCATGTATTCTACTTGCTTTGCAGCTCGGTCTTCACAGCTTCTGGCACAGATTTTAAATGCAGTTAAATCTGCAGTATAAGAATTATAAGAATTATCTTATTCTTTCTAAGGTTATCAGAAATATCTTTAAACAGATTCCTTCCTTCTTTGCTTAGTCTGTTCTGTACCAAACCTGAATTTACCTGTTATGTTCCAATAAACCACTAATCTTTTCACTTGGGAAGAGACTGACAATCAAATTTGCTCAGTCTTCTACTTTTAAAAACACCTAATGCCAGGTTCCCAGTGCATTCAACCTTCTTATTATGTTATGTCAGTTGAGTCTGCATCCTATTTACATTAGTAGACAGCCTGGCTTTTAATGTGAACAAAAAGTTCCAGGATAGCTTATAAAACTGAAGATTTCTCACTCTCCCTGTGGTGGGCTGGACAAAAACAGTTTGTCTTACTGCAGTTCCTCTTTTGTCTTTCTATCATAGCTTCTGTGTGAAATACTCATATTTTAGTTCACTCACAATGCAGCCAAATGTAGAAATCTGAAGGGACATTACTCTGTTTTGAAACTGGATATCAGCCTGTTCATATTATATATTATTGTTATATTATTATAACAATTGTTATATATTATATGACAATCTATTTTGACCCTAGGAAACTCTTTTTTACTGGCCGTCCATATGCAAACTAGAACTATTTTAACTAATGTCAATCCAACATAGGAACTTCAATTAAAAAGGTTCTACCTGAATTTTACAGAAAAATCCAATATGCATCTGCCTGGTACATGAGATGTCATTTCCATCAGCAGGAGGAAGTCCCATTAGATAATTTTTTTCTTTGTTTCTACAGGGAAAATTCCCTCTACTCACCCCAGTTATGACAGTAGTTTTGTAAAAACACTTTTCTGAGAACTGGACTAAAATCAACCATGAATTTTATTTCAGTCCCTGAAAAACATTCTGCTCAGCCTAATAGTGGAACTTTTGCCATCTTTTACTAAGCTTATAAAGCACATCAACTTAATCCCATAAATTTCCTGGTTGGAGGAACTAGTTCTATCCATGCATTTAATAAATGAATGCATTAGAGATGTCCTGTATCAAGCAGAGGTACATTTCACAAAATCATGGAATCACAGACTACACTAAATTGGAAAGGACCAATCTGGATCATTGAATCCAATCCTTGGCCTTGCACAGGACATCCCAAGAGTCACATCATGTTCCTGAGAATGTTATGCAAGTACTTCTTGAGCTCTGTCAGGCTTGGTTCTGTGACCACTTCCCTGGGGAACCTGTTCCAGTGCCTGGCCACCCTTTGGGTGAAGAACCTTTCCCTGGAATCCAACCTAAACCTCCCCTGACACCACTTCAGGCCATTCCCTTGGGTCCTGTCACTGTCACTACAGAGAAGAGATCAGTGCTGCCCCTCCTCCTCCCCTCACAAGAAGTCATGACTGTAGGGAGGTCTCCCCTGAGTCTGAGGCTGAAAGACCAAGTGACCTCAGCTGCTCCTCACACTGCTCCTTCTCAAGGTCCTTCACCATCTTTACATGCTTCTTTGGACACTTCTCTATAGTTTTAATGCCTTATATTGTGGTGGCCAAAACTGCACGTAATATTCAAGGTGAGGCTGCCCCAGAGCAGAGCAGAGCAGAGCGAGCCAATCCCTCCCTTGCCCAGCTGTGATGCTGTGCCTGCTGCCCCCCAGGACACAGCTGGCCCTCCTGGCTGCCAGGGCTGCTGACTCACATTCAACTCACCAGTGACCAGGACCCCAGGTCCCTCTCTGTGGCACTGCACTCCAGCACCTCATTCCCCGGTCTGTCTGTACATCCAGGCTTGCCCAATCCCAGGTGCAGAACCTGGCACTTTCCCTTGCTGAACTTTCTATGGTTGGTGTTGCCCAGCCCTCTAATTTGTTGAGGGCTATCTGCAGTCTTCAGACTTCAAGGAGTCAACAGCTCCTCCCAGTTTTACATCATCTGTGAACTTGCTTAGTATCACTTCCAGCCTGCATCCAAGGCATTTGTGAGGATGTTGAGGAGCACAGGGCTGAGGATGGAGCCCTGTGGAATCCTGTGAGTGACTGGACACACAGCCTGATGTCACTCCATTCACTATAACCCTCTTCTGCCCAAACTGGGAGCCAATGCTCACTCACTACAATGATGTGTTTATCCAGCTGTGGGCTGGACATTTGGTCCTGAATGATCCTGTGAGAGACAGTACCAACAGCTTCACTGAAATCCATGAAGATTACATCAACTGGCTTCCCTTGATCAGCTAGGTGGGTTACTGTGTCAAAAGGAAATCAGGTTTGATAAGCAAGATCTTCCTGTCATGAAGCTCTGCTGGCTGTGACCAGTGACTGCATTGTCTTTCAGGTGTTTTTCAATACCTCCCAGAATAATCTTCTCCAGAACTTTACCAGGCACTGAAGTGACACCAACAGGCCTATAGTTTCCAGGGTCCTATTTCTTGCCCTTCTTGAAAACTCGGACAATGTTTGCCAGCTTCCAGTCAGCTGGGACCTTTCCAAATTCCCAAGATTGCTCAAAAATCATCGAGAGGAGTTTTGCAATGACATCAGCTAGCTCCTTGAGGATTCTTGGATGAATCACATCAGGCCCACATCAGGATCCAGCTGGAGCATCATATCCTGCACAATTTCAGGGTTTACTGGGAGTTAGTTGATTATTCTTGCAGTCATGGTCCTCCACTCAGGACACTGAGGCCTCCTTGGTCCGTCATTTGTGTTGAAGGCAAAGAATGCATTAAACACCTCTGCCAGGTCCCTGTTTGTGAGGTGACCAATCTCATCCTGTAATCGGATGATGTTATTTCCACACTGTATTTTGCCATTAATATATATGAAAAAAATATTTTTTATTGTCCCCCACAGTTTGGCCAGCTTCAATTCCAATGGAGTTTTGGCCACACAAATTCTGAGCAATACTTACAAATGACTGATGTGCTGAAAATGCGTTCCATGTCTGAGAAGACTCTTGTAATTCATAAGACCATTTTAAACTGTTTGCAGTCACTGGTGTGTTTTCATAAGATGTATTACCTCCATTCCTTAACTTAAACAAAAATACTTATGGTAAGAGATTTACATTTTATGATCATATAAACTGCACATAAAATGCCAAATCCACTCTCAGTGACTAAAGTAACAGCTTCATATCCAAAATCTCTGTCTCTGGGCAAAACCACAAGGGCTTCCTGAAACAAGTTACATTGGGTGACAGAGGAGTTTCAGGTGCTGCACAGAGATGCTTTCATCCCCACCTTTGTGAAACAGCCTAGAAAGACGGAGCTTTTGCTGGCTGCAGGCAAGTCTAGTTACTGTTCAGGAATCCCAGGGGCTTTTCTGACAGTACAAGGGGGATCCTTTGGCAAAACTTCAGCAGTAAACATGAATGACACAAAAACAGTTATAACTGGTTATAACTGTTTATAACAGGGCTATAAACACAAATGAAGACACTGTTGTATAGTCATGAGGATCACAAAGAGAAGAGATTTGTCAGATCTCGGTGTGGTTTGTCACCATGCAGATCTGGACACTTTAAGAGCATTGTGAAATCTAATTTCTGCTGCAGCTGCCAAGATAGCCATATGCTCCTTCTTTATATTTTTCTTAAAGAGAAAAGGTTTCTTTAAATTTTGTTGCAGAAATTTTCCTCCTCTTCCACATGATCCCTACAGAAATTAGGAGGAAAAAAATTCAATGAGGAGTATACTTACAAGTATGATTCAATGCTCATTGAACAGATTCTAAAAATCAAAAAGCATCCTATGAGAACCTTATGAGTACATTTCCATATTTTTCGTGCACGTCAAAGTATACCTTTAATTGCTTATATAAAGATGTGCAGATCTGAGCTTTTAGAGACAGGAAATAGAACCAAAATGTCACGGGCTACGTCAGCTTTCTTCTACATCTATGCAATTTCTGCTGTAATTATTTTCTATTGGGATTCTAAAGAATTGGATAAAGCCTGTCAACTTTTTGTCTAAAGTTTAAGTGTTTTGCTTTCACTGAATTTCATCAGAAGGTAATTTGGTTGTGAAGGAAAAAAAAAAAAGAATTCTAAGCATCTGCATGTTCATTTTAAAGTGGAAGTTTAATATAATTTGAATTTCAATGAAATAAGATGAGAAAGTGTTCAGATTTCAAGTATTTTTAAATTTCTCATGAACATTTCAGAGCCTCCAAAACTTGTGTTTTGGTTCATAAGAGCATCTGCTTTTTAAAAATCTCCCAGTTTCCTGCTACTATTACACTGTCAAGCTCCTTTTTATAGTATCCCCTTTTTAAAATCCTAATTCAGGGAGAAGTGATCTTCATACTCATGAGTGTCTCATTTCCACACAAGCAATACACATCATTACAAACTTGATCAGTAAAGAGAGAATCAAAAAATTTCCATGGCCTACATTTTGGCCAGAAGGATTGGTGAAATACAACAAATTCTCTGAATGGTACAATAAATCTCAAAATGAACTAAATCATTAAATTCCCATGAAATCTGCTTGTAATCAAGCTAAAAATACTGTGGAAAAACTGCTTGTCTCATGGTTTCTTCAATAATTCTAATTTTGGTTTTTGTTTGAAAGCCAGAAGTGCCTAACCTAGCCTGAAAATGTACGGCAATGTTCCAAACGCCATGGCAGCATTTTGAGAATATCAGCAAAAACCAGCTGCAGGTTTATTTTGATTTCAGTTCAGCCTTCTCCTAAGTTGTTTGACTAATTTCAGTATATGTGGAAATCCGTTCCCTTACTTTCTGTTTACTTTAGAAACAGTTATTACTTTAAAAACAGAGAACATACAAAATTTCATCTCTTATGTCCTAGCAATTTCAGGCTTAAAAATGAAGACACAACTCCAAGCATCTTAATACTTTTTTGAAGGAGCAAAGATTTTTAATTTCTATCACCGAGGTGTGAAAATTAAAAGAAAAAAATTCGCTCTTCTTGTTATCATATAATAGGTATATAAGTATGTACTTGTAGAACAGTAAGATTACTGAAAACACTGCACAGAAGAAGAAAAAAAGAGGCCCTTGGAACCCTTATGCTTCTATAAAAATACAGCATGTGCCCAATGAGAAGAGAGAAATTAGTAGGTATAATCCAGAAAACAGGCAAAGAAACTGACTGTGTTCCTGATTGCATACAGAATATAGAAAAGCATTGAAAATTCCTATCTAATTACTTCAAACTTATTTCAAACCCCAGTTGAAATATAATATTTTTCTTTAGAGAAAAAAATATATTGAACTATACTAATTAATGTATATTAAATTAATTCATTTAATAAATAATAAAATATAAGGAAATTAATAATTCTAAAAAGAATAATTATATTAAGAAGAGGTTGGAGATTTTTGCTACTTTCTGCTTTTGATTCTCAAACAATTCTTTGTAGCAGGTAATTTATTCATTAAACATTGACAGAATAGAAAAACTGGGATAAAAGCTAGAATGGGTGGCAGGCCTTTCCAGTAGATTACTAAATACCAACAGAAAATAAATAAATTTGCAGAAAATTCACTGAACAATAAATAAAGAATTGCAATTTTATTCTAAAACATTTTACTCTAAAACCTGTGTTTTCCCTAGATGTTATTCTGGTAAAATAACTGAATAATCTGCTAATTAATTGTAGGGTTTTTTGGGGGCTTTTTTCTGTTTGTTCGTTTGTGTTTTCTCTTTTTGTTTTGTTTTGTGGCTTTTTTGGGGTTTGGGGTTTTTTGTTTGTTTTGGGTTTTTGTTTGTTTGAGGGGGAGTTTGGTGGTAGTGGTGGTTTGGATTGGGTTTTTTTTTTTGCTTGGAAAGTAAATTAGAAATGGCATCAGGAAATATACATAGAATCCTGGTTCACAATTACCTTTATTGTCTCTTCAAATGCAAGATTAACATTTTGTGTGAATAGTAAAGGTGTTGAGGAAGAGACTATTAAGAACTGAATGATGGGAACTAGTTTAATAAAGCTATGAAAAATTAATATAGAAAAATAAAATAATGGAAAAATCTAGGTACCTTTAGAATGAATAGAAAACATCATCACTAAAGAAATATAACTTTATATAAATATATGAGTAGATAAGAAAATAATATCTGTCTTATTTCTGTAACTAATTATTAGAGTAAACTTTATCTTTGCTCATTTTGTAGGAGTGTTTTGAGAGGCAGTTAAGAATGGTGACTGGAACAGCTGCTGAAAGACCCATATCTAATGCTACTGGAAATCAGACCAGACAACATGCCCAGGAAATACCTCTTAAGAAGGCATGAAGTACTTGCATTTCCAAAACAACACAGCACACTGGAATAGCAAACATTAAATGTGAAGAAATAGTCTGACATAGCATTGTGAGACAGCTCTGCAGCCTTGCAAGTTGCACTGGCCAGGAATTGATGCTTCTTAGGCATAACCCTCTGCAGCTCTTCAGCCACAACAATGGCCCAAGAAGTTAGTGGTACAAAGCTCTATGGAAACCATTCTGGCAGAATACATGAAAACAGCTGTCCTGAAGCATTGGACAGACATCTGTCACAGTTTCTCCACCTATCCAAATAATGGACTAAGATGAGAATTTTTTTTTTCTCTCTGATCTGGTTGTACTTTCAGTTAATATTGCTTGGGAAAAAGCCCCTGTGCTATAAGGAGGCATTTCTGGAACTATTGTGAACTGCCTGTTGAATCTGAGACAGTCTGGTTTTTAGATGTCCAAAATAAGTCTTCTTACCATCACATAATGGCCCGGGTTAAAAGGGACCTTACTGACCATCTAGTTCCAACCTTGCCTTGGGCAGGAATGCCCTATGTAAATGCAGTCATAATTATTCCCATGATACTGTGGGAAGTAGCACTGAAGCTACCACTTCTGCAGATGTCAAGCCTGAAAAAGGCAAATTGCAGATGCCTAGTGGACAAATTCAATAAATACAACCAAAAAGTTTATAGTGTGATTTTATATAATTTTTCCCAATAACATGTTTGCTGCATTTGAATATGTATTACCAGCAGCAGTCTCAGTTTATGGCAGTTTGTGGTTAAATACCCCATAAAAGCTAACTCACTTGCTCCATTTTGAACTCACTACACTCATGCTGACAGCCCAAATTACAGTGTTTTATTATATTGCATCTTTACTGTGTATTTTATTTATCTCTGTTGTACCTTCTAGTATTTGGCATCTATTCAAAACCTTTACCTGTGTTCTCCTGCTGCTCTCGGGGCTTTTGTAGCTTCTTTTGCTTTTTACTCAGAGCATTATCTTTTACTTTCACACACTACAAAGTTCATTAGTTTAGAGAGCTTATGCAATCTCTCAATGACACCAAATCCCATTTGTTCATCTGATTTGCTACACAGCTGCAAAGACGGCCTGTGTATTAAATCACCAATTGTGACCACCTGTAAAACACTGCTTGTAAATATGCTATTCAAGGCATAAAGCCAGCTTAATGTAGCAGTTAAATTTTTAAATGAAATGTCACAAAAAATGTGTAAGCAATTCACAATTCAACTGGTTTGTGTACTACCCATTTACTGTTTGTTAAAATTCATGTCTTGATTTTTTTTATGTCTCTTCATAGGTTCTGCTAACAGAGCATCCATAAAAATTGGAACTTTTCATGGGGCATCTAAGTTTAATCCCTGCTGAAACAGCTATATTGACTTCATTTTTTCTGAATTTCTTTAAAAGATGATTTTGTAAGATCTAAAAAGTTCTAAGAATGCCTTCATTTGGCAATACAATCCACTGTGTAGCTCTACAGAGTAAGTACTTTGTCTTCTATTAGCTTTGGTTTTCCTCTAGTATGAAACTATAGCCCAGTCTCACCATAAGCATAAAATAATGTTCTTCTATTCCACAGTTGCATGGGTATGAACAGTCAGTGACCTTTGTTTAGTGACATTTAACTTCATCATTCTTCCAACCTATTGCAAAACCTCCCTCTCCCTAATGTTTCAAAGATGGTTTTTATCAACAACTTTTTATTAATTTCCTTGTGTCTGTGGAAGACCATTTCTAAATAGCAGCTTTACAGGAATGAGCTTTTCTCCATTTTTATTTGGGTGAGATTTCATAAGGGTCTTAATCACCTGCATCTTGTAGAACTAGAAGGAATATAGGTAGTAATGGTCCTCTTTTTCTTTTGAAACCTTCTAACAGGTTTGAAATCTTAATGAATTAAAGACCCTACAACATTTATATCAGAGAAGCCCTATGTTTTACTGTAATACTTTTTACTGAACTAGCAAGTTATTTTGCTGAACATAACTGCTGGATAAAAAATCCATGCTGTGACAAGTTAGCTTCTCCCTGCACTAATTATTTTGATCAGCATCACCCTCTTCAACTTCTGAAGTTGAAACATGCTTCTCATGTTTCTCAGGCAACCATATCCTATCAAGTGTGTTCTTTCTTCCTCAACCACAGTACAATGTCCATTTTCTCCCATATTTTTCTTTCGCCCCCCCAAAGTTCTACCTTTGTTCTGTCTCTTCTCCATTACATGTGGTATGTTTATATGCTTGTATAAACCCCTTCTCCTTACTCTAGATTTTCTGATGCATC